TATATGCCGCTGCCTGTCTTGGACAGGTCACCCTTGCAAAAGAGATTCTTAATCTTAATGGGACTTAAATAAAGGTTATAATAATAAAATAAATATAAAAAAATGACAATACCGAAAACTACTATATCACTGTCATTTGCCTTGTCTCACGTGGACATCTTCACGTGCCATTTCAGTAGATAGTGCCCCACCCAACAGTCATTAAAAGATTTTAAAATTCATAATAAGCATGCGTATGACACCGGTCCTTTGTTCTTGAACACGGTGGGAGGCACAACACAACAGTTAACACTCCACTCAGCTGTTTTAATGCTGATGAAGAAGCAATCAAAGGAGAAAATGGACTTGCTATGCACTACCATGATGACATGCAAGGCTGCCCCTTGAGGCAATGAGACTGCAGATGAGCTGTAATACCAGAATAGTCAGACTGGATGGAGGTACTCAGTTTTCCTCACGCTGTCCCCCTATTTTACAAAGCTGTTTCTATTTAAGGCAGCCATTTTTGTGATGTGTGTGTGTGTTTGTCACTCCACGGTGGCATTGCTATTTTCCACCAGCCTTTGAGTTACGGCTCATTGTTGTTGATCAGTATATACTGGGGAGCTGGTTTGGCACGGTGACAGGTTGTCACGGATCTGACACAATGAAAGGACCGGCGGTGGACTAGACTTGTAAAAATAGCAGCAATGAAAGCAAACAGAGACATTAATGAGCCTACGCTGGTGTTGCTGTGGAGTCCCTGGAGGCTTCGCACTCACAGGCATCAGTGTGTCTGCATCTGTGTATCCTGTCAAACAAAATGACATGAAAGCTGCACATCTAAAAACCACAGAGATGGAGAGTTTAAAGAGAAAGACGTGAAGTGAAGGTGTATCAGTGCATCTGTATGTCTGTCTCTACTGTTACAGTACATCATTAATTTAACACTCCTTTCTTAAGCAATATCTATTCCTACTTTAACAGACATGTATTTCCTAAAGAGTGCCATGAAAGCCCATTATAGAAAGTTAGTGTTAAAGGTGTCCCTTCACAGCCTTTAATAATCTATGATAGGGCTGTAATATCATCTGTGTAATGGACACGTGGGACCACAAGGTGTCTCTTAACCTCCACAGCAGAGTTCCATTCTCCTCTGGAACAAGTCACATGGTTTTATCTGTGAGAACTGGATATTAAAAAACGAGAGAGACGGGGGGGGACGGGGACGGGGGGGGGGGGGAGGTGAAGGGAGAAGAACAGAGAGGAAGGTAGAGGCTGGATTGTCAGCGTCGGAGCAAATGAAAGTCAAACGGGCTCTCGAATACAATACTCTGGGGAGGGCTTTAATCAGAGGTTCCCCGCACACAGGTTGGGGCAATATGATGTGCTTTACATCCTCACAGTTACTTTGCTACTTCTTTACATTTCCAAAGAGATCATAAACATTTAGAGCCTCAAATCTAATTCATGTATAGCCTTAGCTATTTTAAGAACTATTTAACGCTCACAAGAGCCTAATGAACAACCGCAACCAGAGACTCAAATCTTGGTCCGTACCTGCCCACTACGTTCTTTCATCATTCACATTCAAACTGGGACAAGAAAAGCAATGAATCCATTTATCTAAGGACTGTCAATCAAATCCCACATGCAGACTCAAACTAACAATTCTTGTATCCTACTAAAAACAAATCAGTAGAACCAATGGGCTCGAAGCTGAGCCTCAGAAAGGGTATTGAAATCAGAAAGTAGAAAGAGATGTTGGTTTGGGATTTGTTGACAAAAACAAAAATATTGAATAACGTCAGCTCTATCCTTGAAGATGTTTTTACCCCTGGAGCCATGTCACCCAGTGCAACAGTGGCTAATTGATGAGTTTTGGGCAACAATGGAAAACTATGGCACAGAGGATTACATTACATCAGCCTTTGGCTGAAAGACGCTGCTTGTTAGCAGGATCAATACACAGTTATATATAGTGCAGCTGGATACGATATGTGCAGCAAAATCTACCGTGAGCAAACGATTTGAACAATGCTACTTATCCCTTTCCTATGTTTTGGTGAAACAAAACATTTATTGTGTCACTATATTTAAAAATGTGACTTTGAATGTGATATTGGAGGATACGGTAGCCGATTACATTGACAATCGATTAGTCGGTTATTATTTTACGAGCAAAAGTGAGAAACATTCAGTCAGACCAGCTTCTCAGACCTTTTCCTGCTCTTTTTTTCCCTTACGTGATAAACTGAACATCTAGCAATGAGCAAGCATCACCTTGGGATTCAGTTAATTGTGACATTTGTCACCATTCTCTGACATTTCATTGATCAATGGCAGATTAATTGAAATTAAATGAAAATAATAGTCAGTTGCAGCTGGATTTGGTAGGGTTACTTTTTGATTTTAAAAGATCTTTTAGATTTAAGTATTTGCCTCCTTATGCAGTCAAGCAATAGGCGAACAATTAACATCTAAACGTGCAAATCAACATGCACCACAAAAAACTAACTCTGGGCAGCATCCTGGCTCTTACCAAGCACATTTGTTAAGGCTAATTAGTTGTACACGAACTGCACCAGGTTATCATTTAATGAGCAGGCACTCTTTTTATTATGAAAAAACAATAATGACATGATGTAATTGTCCGCTATAACTAAACGTTTCTGTGTGAGCGTTAATTTCTACTAACAGTGGCAGTTCTGTGTACCAGTTACGAAGCTTCCAGAAGGCCATGGGCTGGAGGTCAGCTCTGCGTTTGTGCTCACCAGAAAAATGTTTCTGACCTTAAGCACATCTAATGAATCACCAGCAATACTCAGTATTCTCTATGTTCTGATGCTAATTTTATATGACAGAGGTATTACAACCCAAGCATTAGGGGTACTGTCAAAGCACCTGTTCCCCTCCCACACCCACACACAGTATTCTTTGTAATGCACCATATATAAGCGTGCATGCGTTTTTTTGAATCTTTACACTTATTTTACTCAACCGTACTTCACAATCACTGGCTCATCAAAAACTGTATTTAACAAGAACTGATTCAAGCGGGTGCATTAAGATATCTAAGCTTGATTGACAGCCTCTCCAACCCCCTCAGATTAAGCCACTTAAATAACATTAGGTGAAAAATACAGTGGAATCACTTCTGACTTTTAAAGCTGGATAAATAAACGCTAAATTATATGACTGACCTCAGAGGTGCTTTATTTCACTGCATATGCATATTGGAGATTAAAAAACACCTATAAATATTAATGTGGGGCAATTTCCAGAGTGCAAATAGGCAGTGCATTATCTCTGTGTGGGCTTAGAGTGGAATCAGCCTGATGCCTCTTCCTTCGCCAGAGCAGGCCAGATCGACAAACACTCAAAGACAGACTAATGGAGTGGATAATACTCATTATGTTGGGACACAGGCAGAAGAGCTAGGAGTGAATTAATGCACAGTTAGTGCATACATACCACGATTAATTCATGTACATATACTGCAGGAACAGTTGCACAATTGCTTTTAAAGTACTGTTTCGAAGACTAACCTGACCACAATGCACCATTTTTATTCCCCCAACGCATTCTTCTCCTGTCTCTATTTCCAGTTCTATAAAGCATGAAAAGTAATCTGATTTGTATATATATTCTATTTAAACAGAGGGAAGATTAGAGGCACATCAATCTTGGCTCAGCCCCAGGGAATGAAGGAAAAGGTTACTAAATTTATCACTCTGCCTTCTGTTGCAGGAGATTTAAATATGGGTGTTGGAGTCTGACTGACCATCCTCTGAGGGAGAATATAGCTCCACCTCTGTGTACTCTCACAGCACAGACGCCATTAATTATACACGCACGCGCACACACTCACGCTCCATACATGCAGTATGGTACCAAAACTGTGTTGTGTAATATCCAGTGTTCTCTTTTCTGTTGTCAGATCTGTTCTCTTTAGCTTTGCCAGTTCAATTCAGTGTAAATGTGCTGTAGCGTAAGAATGTGAAGCAGGTTAGTCTCAGAAACTGAATAAACACAAGTAAAAAAAAAGAAAACAAGAAATAGGGTTTCCTCTTGTTTGTATTTCACACCTAAAAATGCTACGTTACGTTTAATTTTGTGGCTTTTCCTCTGGTTTGTTGGTGTGTCAAACTTCTACACTGTATATGAGACATAAAGGTGTAATTCCAAAATGCCAAGTGCATCCCAATAATAATGAAATAGGTGGGGTTTGAGGCTCGTGACCTGGTGACTACTTTTGGGGACAGTTGGATAGTGCTGTAGACAAGCTAACCACTAAAACACTAAACAGTTCTCCAAGCTGGCAAACGGCTACTTAGCTTCCAAACAGACAATAAATTAAAGTTTATTCAAGGGATGCATTTTAGTGTCTCGCTCTCTCTTTTTGTGGAGCAGTTTATACTCCAACAGAGGACAGTTATGTAAAAGTGGATGATGGAACCAGGCTAATAGGCTATGACAGCTTCAGGTCAGCACCGTCAATACGGTTTACTAATGTAGCAGCACAAATTTGTATGTCAGAGTTCAATAAAGTTATGGCTCCATTGAGTAAATTGCACAGATATACTTGACGGGGAGAATCCACTGGCTCTAAAATGCTGCTGTATAAACGCTGGTATGACCGAGACTTTTGTGTTCCAGCCTGCTGTTTTTGTTGCCGTTTGTTACTCAATTTCCTTCTTTGCTTGTAATGTCTTGTTTTTGCATTTTTATGTACTGAGAAAGGGATGAAACGAAATAAAGAACTTAATGAAAAAAACACATCGCCTGTTTATATTTTAATCATAATCACAGTTTGGCAACTCTGGTCATTTTTGCCACAGCACTTGCTTGGACGATGGGTTGCGACCCAAAAAACATACACACACAAATCATATTAATTACATAAATGCATGCATGTGGTTCAAGCCCACTATGAAGACTGTCTTGTCTAAATATCGCTGACAGATTTGACTTTGCTGCTTTTCTAGGGATTAAACACAGATCGTTTAAATCTTTTCTACCTGTTTCTCACACTGGCCATAGTCTGGACCCTGGGCTGGTTGAAAGAAGCTCGTTTCTCCGTGGTTCTTCGCCATCTCGATCAGCCCCATGGCCGTCCTCACGGTGGCATTACGAGCGTGGACAAACACCATCACCTGAGGAGACACAAGACACAATGCGAAGAGGTTCGCAACATCAAGCAACACAAAATCCACAGACAGGTTCATCTGGTAGAGCATGTGTCTAATCTGTAATTACTGGCTAAAACTCCCCAAAACCTGCGCAACTGTAACCATGCAGATGGGTCTAGCTCCTCCCTTTGTGTGGGCCAATCTGCCATTGTGATGTTTCTTAACTCATTTATTCATCCTTTAATATACTGTACATACTGTGAGATTTTGGATTCCTTATTTACCCCTTAATTTACCTGTAAAAAGACCCTGTTTGTACTGTTTTGTATGTAATTTTATGACATTTTAGCATGGAAATAAAGTACTACACCAAACAACCCTGTATGACTGCACACACATGCAGCAGCCAGCTGTGTGTGTGCTTCAAACACACTGGGTCCGAAGAGACGACTGCAGCAAATGTTATTTATTCAGGGTGTTTTATCAGCACCACTGAGCTGTGTGCAAGCATCGTCGGCAGTAACCCACCGGCTTCTCAGCTTATTAAACTTCTTTCTGGCAGCATGCTTCCCACAAGGAGGGCGGAGGGAAAATCATAAAGAAAATTTCATCCATCAGATCCTCCCAGATTAAATTAATATATGTCACAGCCACTTCTCGACAATTTAATATCGAGCGAAGAAGAGGCCTCCCTAGCTGAGCTGCGGCCTCAGCGGCCTCAGCCTACGAGCTAGACTGGACGGTTGTATCCTTTCAACCACTGAGATAAAAAAGTTGTCGGTGGTGCAGTAGAATTAAGCTGGTTTACAAGTTCTCAAGGGCTACAGCAAGACTCATATTAAGTGCGTCTCTGAGGGAGATAATGGTCAAGAGAGAAGGAAGTGTATGTGTGTGTGCACTGGCAATAAAACGATGCAGACAGGATAACAACCGTGCGCAATAGGGAGCTCAACTCGTGTAGCAGATGGGAGCTAAATGGTAAAGTCTGAATTCACAACTCTCATGTTCCCAATAGGCCTTCTAAGGCTGTAGAGAGGAAGCACAATGAGTGGAGGCTGGTTGCTGGTGGATGGGGGGGAGGGGGGGGGGAGGGTAACACTGGGGGAGATAAGGACTTTAGAGACTTTGGATAGCAGGTGTTCACTCCAAAAGGTTCACAAAAATATTTACTGCGGTAGTTTCTATTCATGAAAAAGTTCAGAGAAATATTTTCAAGGGAAACGGGAGTTGTATTCTGATGCTACACCAACATTACTGTGTGCCGCTTTAAGTTGTTCTACCAAACATTTCACAGTATCATCATAAAGAAGTTTGGTGGTGATGATTGAGGAAAAAAATGATCTGGCTGAACACTTGTCTCGTAAAATGATAATGATTAGCTGTCATGCTCAGGAAATACTAATGAAAGAAATCCAAACCCCCTCCTTCATAAGCACTAAATCAGGTATGTAGGCATCATAAGCATATTCAAGACTTAATGCTTTATATTTTTAAACAAATCAGCAAGAAGCAACTCCCGGCTGAGCAATAGCTTACTCTAGCTACCTGCGGTCGTTATTTCAGCTAGTAAAATCCACAGCCGTAGAAATTAGAAGCTTGTTTTAGTCTACTGAAGTTGTTCACCATTTTTCATTTGTCTGGCTCTGCCATAGGAAGATGACATCCACATATCTGATATTTGAGTGGTGAGTGCTGTTCGATGTCCGATGATATCGTTAGACTAATTATGCACAATCCGTAAGACGAAAACCCTGAAACACTAAAAGCATAAACATGGCATACAAACTGTGGCACTGAAAAAGTAGTGGATGTTTTTCTTTACATTACATTCACTCACACGACAACACATATGTAAACATGGGTACGTGCTTCAAACATACAGATAAGCCTTTACCTGATGACCGGCTTTCACCTGCTCCAGAACTTTGTTGTAACAAACTTCCTCCATGTCATGAAGCTGCTGGATCTGAACAGGACACACAATCGCAATAAACAATTAAACAGAACTTGTTACTGCGATGTTTAAACTCAAAAAATATGATGCCAACAGTAATAGCGGCAAGCAAACAGGTAAATATGGCAGTTGTCCATTGCTGCTAAAAGCCTTTGCTTTGTGACATGAAATTCTAAATATCTTGTTGTTATTAGTTAAACAGAGGTTCTATAAAGTGGCCATTCTGCCAGGCTGTAAAATCATATTGTGCATGTTGCACTAATTATGGGTTATTTGTTATATTTCATTATTGTGATCAAGATTCTGAATGTACAACCCATTCTCACTCTCATAGTTGTCACGTATGGACGCATGGGCCAAGAGCCGTTGGCACCAAAGCTCAACGCTGGGGGAAGTCCCGTAATGTCATTAACACTCAAGGTAGGTGTAGGACATTTAACAGGGTTGTCCGAGTAAGGAGGTGGGGTTGGGGTGGATGGGTGTGCCAGAAGCTGGAGTTTGTTTCCCGTGTTGACCAAACGTCTACATGTGACGAACTGGGAGTGAGAAAGTGTTGGTATGTACTGAGTGAGGCATCTTACAGGGGTACAAAAAGAGATTGGTTTCTCTTGGACAAACTATATAATGTGTTTATACTGTAAAACTCTGATTAACAGCCCGGGACTTTATTTGCTAAAATCACTGAATTGTCCCTGCCTATATTTGGGACAGGCCTTTAATTCCTTTCACACAAAACTGAAATAGGCTAATATGAAACAGTTTATTGATTTCAAACAGAATGTTACTTGTATAAAAATTATCCAGTAATATCAAATACACGTCATTCATTTGATCTGGCTCTGACAGACGGCTTATGAACTTTTATTTTGAAGGCAGCAACGTAACAAAAACAATAAAAAGTGTGGCAGAAGTTAGCAGGCAGAGAGCGATGCACGTCACATGACAGGGCTGAGTTCAACGCAGACAAAACATAGCAAAACCTTTTTTTCAATGGAAACGGTGGTTCCCTGAACACCCTGCTGTGAACGCAAGCGCACTGAATTTTCTGCCTTTTTAACACCGTTGTGTTTACAAACTTGTCGCAGCTGATTGGGTAACACCTGAGACATGCTCACCAAACGGGAGAAAACAAACCTCGAAGCCTGTTGCAGAACGTTGTGCAACGTTGCAAAACGTTTTGAGATTGAACTTTGGATTTGGATTGCACCAGGATTCACAACTTTGATTAATTTTCATGAAGAGCTGTTTGGACTCTATTGATCGGTGGACCCTTACAGAGCAAAGGAATATAAATAATCAAGGAACGACACGTTCAGACTTAACGAGCGCTTCATGGGTAACAGGTGTCTCTTGTACCAGGCAGGTTACACCGGTAAATCTTTAAGAATTAGACTTTGGGGCTCGTTGTTTCTGTGTTTTCCTGCATGTCCATACTGACATATTGAACATAAGTTTAAACATATTTGTATTAACGATCAGAGCAGCTCAGAAGCAGCTAAAGCGGCGACACCTCTGGGTTTAAGAGGTTTTATGCATCCAAAGAACTTCTATAAAAACCAGACCAGGCGTTTAATGGAGACCTGCGTTTATTTGTCAAAATGTGTTCCCACACCAGACCAGTAAAGGAGGTAGGCGGCTGTTTGGGACTCGGCTATTAAGCGAAGTTTTACGGTAAATAACTAATAATTTGACTTGTACTGTCACTTACTGTTATTGATATATCTAATAATCAGATGACTACATTGGCCATGACGATAACCATTCAACCCAAGTTCAGTCTTGTAATGTGGAGAATGTATCTCATAAGAAGTCAATGTTCAGTACAAACGTGCCTTTTGTCAGAGTTGTTGCACACACATTCTATGTATCACCTTGACGAACTAAACTTCCTGTGCATGTAAAAGATACAGGTCCTATAGATTTGTAAATACATACACATTATCTTGGTTTGTTTACCTTGCTGGTGGTTTTGATGCCGACAAAGGTCTGTCCAAGGGGCACCGGTCTGAAGCGGCTGTCAAAGAAAAAGAGGCCAATATAGGGGTTGACGTGTAGGAAGGCGGCCACATCCAGATAGTTGGGCAGGGTGGCTGATAGTCCCAGGATCCTGATCATACTCTGTGTGGACTCCACCTAAGAAACAGACAACAACACAGTGTCACAGTTAGACCAAACTCTACCCTATAAATCCATCCAGACAGAAGGGAAAGTTGCAACACTTAGGGAGTCAGTAGGGAACGCTTAGGGAAGTATTGAGCATAGGTTATTTGAGAGGATTTATGGGACATGTAGTGACATACCTGCACTGACAATGTGAGTTATACACTACCATGAAGACACACAATAATGGGAATCGTATTATCCTGAACTGTGTTATGGGTACCAGGCTTGGCTCGACTATCCACAATTGAGGCACATGCCAATTTATAAGACGTGTTTTAATTGAAAGCCTATGTTATTAATTCAATTCATCACTCATAATTCATGTTGGATCGGCAGTTTGTGGTCACTGAGCCTGTACTTTGTTAAGATCTGCTTTCTATCTCTGAGTAGAGAAATATTCTGCCAATTCATAATCTCTTTTTAGGGCCAGAGAACGTTCTGATTTACTCTGGCTTTTAGTTTTTCTTTTCAAAGTTCCAAATAGGTTTCTTTTCATTGCATCATTTGGTTTACTGCAACCTTCTATAGTTTTTAGTCACGTAACGTGCGCGGTGACCTGGAGAGCACAACAACAGACCAAGTTGCTCGACTAGCACTCGACTGTGGTAATGTTTACTTTTACCTTGAATCCCTCACCTAACACACCTCAGGCGTGTCTCCTCGTCGCTTAGTGTATCTGATAGCACAACAACCATCCAGCATTTTGGCACCGCAAAAGTAACAAACTCCAAGTAACAGTGTGTCACTTGCTTCCTGGTTGGCGGGCAGCGGAAAATAACGTCTTTTTTGCCCTCCAAGGGAGCATTTCCCTTATGTCGTCACGTGAAAACTATGAATTCTTTAATTGTATCACACTCTTAAGTACGCTTTGTTAATATTGTCATGGTAACATAATAATATTAACAAGATATGTTTTATATTTAAAACTAAAATATAATATAAAACTCTCAGCTCTGTTCAGTGATACACCACAATTAGCTGTAAACCTACTGTTGGGAGGGGACAACTAACTAGGCTAAAGTACACGTGGCCTACAGATATCCAGTATATGTATTTTCTTTTATTTCAACAGCAGTATTTAACTCACTAATCAATCCCAATTTTTGTTAGGTAGACTTGAATAAAACGTGTGTATATTATAGTATGCATAAAAAATTTTAATTCAGAAAACACTGCACATTGTAGAAAGTGAATAAGTGGCTTTGGGGTCTTTGCCTTTACTTTGTCTTTGGGACAAAGTAAATTATCTTGCTCATGTCTTTATTTCGTCTTTGAAACCTGGAGAATATTCAATATGTTGTGTATCAATGTGGGTGAGAGGAGAGAAAGGTAGATGGTGGTGGAGGAGAGGGGGGTTACCCTATCTGTGAGCCTCCTGCTGGCTGTGACAGGGAAGATTGGTAAGGCCTTTAATGTGATGCAGTACCTGTCAAACCATTCCATCAAGATAAGACCTAACCAATCCCTGCCAGCGAACCGGGCCTGCACTACACATTCACACCAGAGCTGAACCTCCACACTGCCGATGTGCATCATGTTCACCTACAGAGAGTCAAACAGTCTGCAGGTTTTTTGCTTTAACGCTGCCTTACTTTATGCAACTGTGAGTTTAACAGATTCTCAGCCCAAGAGATAAGGAATCCATGTATCAGTTAAGTTTGTGGCATCATAAAATTTTATGACAGCAGATTGTGATTAACAGCAGAATTTACAATTACCTGAAGGAGTGTGTGTAAAATTCTAAATAATAAAAAATAAATAGGTCACAATATTAAAATTAGACAGCGAAGTGATCTGAGAAGACCTCTGTGGCTTTGCACCAAGATCCACGCAGCTAAATGCTAACATTAAACAAAACAAACGGAGTACCAGTGATCGTCAGTGGCTTTACATTGGAGCTGTGCGATTTGGAGAAAAAGTCTTATTGAAATTGTTGTGGACAACATTGAGATTTGCGATTCGATTATGATGGAACAAATGGTACTCTGAGTCTACTTGCTTAATTATCAAGGAATGTGTCTGACTTGAAATGTGCATTTCTCAACTTGAACAAGTGAAGTTAAACAATATTTAACAATAACAAGTAAAACAGATGTAAAACAGAAAAAGGGGAGCGTGTTGCTCTCCAGACGAGGTGGCTAGAAACAGAACATATTGGCACGCTGTCTTCGGCTCAATGTACATCTGTCTAATGCAGAGTCTCCATCCACAAGCTGGAGGTAGAACTGTACATGAGTGTATTAAATAAAGAGTTTTAAATACTATATTCATTAGAGTTTCATATAATAGTTTACTTTTTTACCACTTGTTGAGTATTAAAACCAGTTACAGCTGTTTCATTTCTGTGGGTTGTTTTTCTAACTTTAATCCTTGTGCAAGCCAAAGGCTCTCCTTTGGTCTCTAATTTGTTGATGCTAAGTACTAACTTGTCAATAATCATATTGTTCAACATTTAATGATTTGCTGTAGCACGTCAAACTTTTTTTAATGTCCCGCCCCATCCAGGCTGTGATTAGTCGGTTGACAAAAAGTGCTCTGTGAAAAGTTGTTGAACAAAAGGCAGCAAACGTCATATTGGGGGCTTGTCTAATTTGGATTCCTGGGTGTTTGTTTGTTATGGATGTAATTAATCCTACTTGTGTTTAAACTGTCCAGCTGCTGCTGATTGTGGGCGTCTCCCAAGCAGTTGAGTGGAGTGAGCAACCTGTGTCGGGGGTTGGTATGTCACTTAGAGGAATAGTTTTCTGGTTGGGTTGTAATTGAGATGAAGGAAAAAACACGGGGGAGTGTTGAGCAGCAAGTCTTACCAAACGGAAGTAGGTGGTGACATGCTGGTGTTTATTCACGTTGGAGCTAAAGCCATTTCCCCTGTTATGCACTTTAGTGTGGCTAGACAGATAGTGGGGATGCTCCTTGTTTGGCATCCAGTGTGTTAACTGCTGTACTTTCTGTTGGTCCAGGTTGGTAAAATGACTTGACTGATTTTTATGACGCTCCATCAGAGTTGTCGTTGGAGGACTTTACTGAAGAACGGCTGTTAAAAATTGCAGATAGTACGAGATGAATGTGTTGACAGCTGCAGAGGCAGTTACTGTTAAAGGTACTGTAGGGGGAGTCATTCCCAGTTAGTCAGAATAATTTGTCATTTGTAGAGTAGAGAGAGTTGCTGGTCTTGCAAATGGAGTATGAGAAAATTAAGTGTGAGGCAGAGCAGGCCGGAATTAGTTTGGAGCGTGAAAAATTAAGCCTGATCAAAGAGGGTAGGTTAAGCATGGAAGCTAGTCAGCTGCTAGGTGGAATAGGTCCTACTTTAGGTGCACATTCTTCACAGTTTGATTTAGGATCTAGTTTGCGGCTTCTTCCAAAGTTCAATGAGAGAGACCCTGAGACATTTTTTACACGGTTTGAAAAGTTAGCTGACGCTAGGGGCTGGCTTCATGAGGATCGCACACTTATGTTGCAATGTGTTCTGACCGGTAAGGCGCAAGAAGCAATTTCAGCTTTATCTGTGGCAGACGAGTCAGTGAAAGCTGCTGTTCTTAAGGCTTATGAGATGGTTCCCGAAGCATATTGCCAGCTGTTTCGAATGAGCAGGAAGGAAGATAAACAGTCCCACCTTGAATTTGCTGAATTTCTTTAATCGTTGGTATTCGGCTTCTGATGTAAGAACATTTAATGATATGTATTGTCTTAGAACGGTTTAAAAATGCAGTTCCTGAACGTATCTCTACATATTTAAATGAGCAACAGGTAAAAACTATGAGTGAAGCAGCTTCTTTAGCAGATCAGTATGTTTTGTCTCATTGCTGTGATTGGAGAGATACGCACAGCTGTGGCGGATATGCTAGTGGGCGTGGTTTTTGGGCTGCAGGTTCATTTAAGCCTGGAGTGGAAGATAAGGTGACGCGCTTGGGCGAATCAGAAAGAGTCTGTCATTTCTGTCAGAAAAGGGGTCACATTAAAGCAGACTGTTAATGCTTTCCAGAAAAGAACAGGCGTGGTAATGTTAAGTCTTCAGCATTGGCAGCTTCGGTAGCGAGAGTGAGGGTAGATCTGCCATCTTCTCAGGTATGTGAAGAGTGTTCTGATGAGATTGATGCTGCATATTTGACTTTTGTGTCAAGTGGATTTGTTTCTCTTATTGAAGACTGTGAGAAAGTGCCTAATAAGATTCTGAGAGACTCTGGTGCATTGGGTTCATTTATCCTGGCTTCAGTTCTTCTTTTTTCAAAAGAATCTGACAGGATGATCACCCTGGGAGGTGGGCATCGCAGTACGCGCAGCATTGTTGGTGAAAGGAGTCCATCTCATTCTTGGAAATGGGTCGGCTGGTACACGTGTGTGGCCGGATGATCCGCCGTCTCCACCTGTTGGACCAAATGTGTCTGTGGTGAGGCTCTAAAGATGAACCATGCATGAACTTGTCTGACTTTCCATTTTATGTTTCAGGCACAGAGATTTGTTGGCAGAGCAGAGGTCAGACCACTCTATTAAAGATTTGTTGGTGTCTGCGGTTCCTATTGCAGAGGTGAAGCACATGGTGCATGGCCATTTCTTGGAGAATGGTCTGCTGGTAACAAAGTGGATGTCCTGTGGTAAGTTTGGTCCAGACAGTCCAACATTCCAGATTGTGGTACCAGCCAAATTTCGTGACTTGGTTTTACAGTCCAGAACGGAAAAAGGAATCACAACGTTGTCATATTAACCTGCTTAAGCCTTCCTGTTCTTGTGTGGTTGCCCCAAGTATAACAGAAGCAAACACTGGTGGTTTCTGCCGGTCAGTCACTGGCAGACGTTGAGAGTGCAGTCGGCAGAGCAGTTTTCTCCTCAACAACTAAAAAATAGCTGAGGTTCTTGGGGATGCTGGGTTACTACTGCAGTTTTTGTCAAAACTTTTCTTCTGTTGTTGCTCCCCTCACTGATTTGTTGAAGGCAATGTTAAATTTGTGTGGTCTCCTGTCTGTCAGCAG